AAAATGTGTTGCTTTCAGTTTGAGGGAGGATTTGGGCCCAGGGTATGGGAAATGATAAAGGAATATAAAGAAGAGACCGCCCGGACTAGAGTGATTTAGAAAGGGGAGTTAGGGTATAAGGTGCAAGTAGGTCCAAACAAATATGTTGTTGACATGGTGAAGCAAACTTGCACTTGCAGGAGATGGAACTTGACTGGCATACCCTATCCTCATGCCATATGTGCCATTCTATATAGAAAAGAAAAGATAGAAGATTATGTGGCACATTGCTATAGTAAGGAAGTTTTATTGAAAACATACTAGTATGCCATGCAGCTAGTGGCTGGGATGAAATTTTGGCCCAAGTCCTCTACTAAAGAACCTAGGTCACCAATACCTGTGAAGAAGAGAAGGCCTAGGAAAAAGAGGATTCCAGAGGAATGGGAGACTCCCGAGGGGGTACAAGGCTAAGTAGGATAGGCAAGATAATGACATGCTAGTATTTTTACAAGCATGTACACAATTAGAGAACATGCCTTATTAAGAAGATTGACAAGTTGAATCTATATTAATTAATTATATATATTGATTTTGCTTAATTATATTTAAATTTGTATTGTGGTTTCAAGTTGGTTTCAAGGGTAGAGTAGGTTCTAGGTTTGGTGAGAGTTTCCAGGCCAGTTAAGGCTAGGTCAGGTCAGGGTAGGGTCTAGGCCAAGTTAGGTCAAGGCTGGGTATAGGCTAAGTTAGGTCATGGCTAGGTACAGGACAAATTAGGTCATGGCCGGTCCAGACCAGTTTAGGTCATGACTAGGTATAGGCCATGTCAATTTATAGCTGGGTCCAGACTATTTCAGGTCATGGATTGGTACAAGCGAAGACAGTTCATGGTTGGGTATAGGTTAGGTCAGGTTAGGGTTGGGTCTAGGTCAAGTCTGGCCAGGGTGGGTACAGGTTGGTATGGTAGGCTGGGGTGGGTCAGCACATGCCTATACACAAGCCACCTCCAACCTAGTGATTGGGTTAGGAGGGTTCAGAGTCAAGGGCCAAGAGTATAATGAACACCTTGAACATTTCAATCTATTAAGGCCACTTTAAAGAGTTCATTTGAACAAAGGGTGATTGAGGTCTCCTCCCTCTCTCTTTTTTATCCAAGAAAGCTTCTACAAGGGTTAGTTCCTTTTGAAAATTTTAGGATTGAAGCAAGGTGGTAGAGAGATCTCCTCTCAACCCCTTTTCATCCAATTCTAAACTTTCTGCTAATGAGCAAAGTGAATTGGATTATTCAAGGAGCTTATTACTCTCTTGAGAAAACTTTACATTAGTGACTTCACAAGAAAGATAATGAAATAAACACATTCGTCAAGAAAGACACGCTAGAAGAATACTCAAAGTGAAAACATGTTGCATCAAAAGACTATTAAAATTACATGAGAATAAGCTAATCATATCCTAACACATTTTCAAGAAGATTAAGACACCCTAAAACCAACAATTTGCAACACATTTTAGCACTCATAAAGAACAAGGATTAAAGAAAAGCATGGAGAATTCCACTGCTAAGCATCATACCATTAAGCTATCTAGAATGCGCTAGCACATTCTAGCACATTTGCAAGAATTGTGAAGCACAATACAGCCACCAACTTGCAACACATTTCAGCAACTAAGGACAACTATAAAAAAAAAAGAAAAAAGAAAAAATGGGGGGTTCTACTTGAAAGGGGTGAAGAGCTCACTTTGATTTGTAACCTTTAATTGAATACTGCAAAGGCAATGAAGCAAGTTGTTGACAATCCTAGTGGGGGACTAATCATTCTTGTGGTAATTTTCCTTCTTGGCTGAACATGATGTCCTTCTAGGTTCAAGATTGATTGGAGTTGACTTTTCCTCCTTTTTCTTCTTGGTCGAATGGGAAGGAGGTTATTTCAGCCCTCCTCTCTTTCTTTCTTTTTCCTATGTTTTCTTTCTCACTTCTTGTTCTCCCTTCGCTGAAAATAGTGGGAGTTCTTCTTGGGGTTATCTCTTTCCTTTTTTTTCTTTTGTTTTTTTGTTTAGATTGTGGTTATTTGGACTAAATGCTTAGAATGGAGGAAGGGCTGTAGATTTGGTTAGATTAAGGAAAAAAACTAGAAAGATAGAGATTTTTCTTGGCTAGGTGATGGAATGTGAGAGGAGATAGGTTTTAGTTATGAGTGAGTTGGAGAGGTGAGGAGAAGGTGATGATGGAGGGATTTGGGGTTTTAGTTTAGGTTGACATAAGAGAGAGGAGAAATGGGATTCCTTTACTTGGCTGACAATGGTGGATGGTTCTCCATCTTCTTCTTCTTCTTCTTCCTTCTTTTTCCTAATCAATTCAACTAGCCCTTTGTTGTGTTCCTTTTTTTTGGTTGTTCTTATGGGAAAGGGGGAGAGTGGAGGAAGGAGGAAGGAAATGAGAGGAGAGGAGGAAGTAAATGAGAGAGGGAGAGAGAAACCTTGGTTCGGTTGGAAAAGTAGGAGAGTCTGGTTGAGAGGTGTGTGAGAGAATCCATCCATGAGTTGGTTTAGTTCAATTTTTTTCTTGGACTTTTTCTCCCTTTTTTTCTTTTATTTTTTCCTTGGGTTTTCCTTTAAAACCAGATGTGGTTAGGCTGGTTCGATTCAATTTAGTTTGGTTTGGGATGATTTGGTTGGGTTGTGACTGAATAGAGGGAGTTTGGTTAGGGTTCGGTTGAGTCTTGGTTAGGGTGTGAAAGGATAAAAAAGATGAAGTATTTGAGATTTGTTGGTTCTAATCCATAGGGTACGATGATTCTAGAGTTTTTCTCTTTTTTTTTTTTCTTTTACTTTTTTTCTTTTTTTTTCATTGGATTTATTTCTTTGACTGAATTAATGCTAGGGAACAACCTTCCTTAAAAGGCTCCCCAATGTCTCCCTTATTTATGGGTAAAATGAGGGGAAATATTAAATTTGAAATTAGTTTGCTTAACTGAATTTGAGAGAGAGATAGTTGGACTGGTAGCTACTGTTTGTTGTGTTAGGGTTTTGGGAGTGCTAAGTGAGGATTAGACCAATCCTAGGGTGGAGAAGCAAAGGGAATTTATATCTAGGGCTAAGGTTGCATCTAGGGTTGATGGGGGCTCTTGGGTGATTTCTAGAAATGTGTAAGGACCTAAATATATGAAAATGTGTAGGGGGAGTTTTGCAATGAAAGGGCAAGTCTAAGGGGTACGACACATAGGATTCAGTGGATGGGATTAAAACCTCAAGATGCTAGGGTTTGTCACAACCATTGAGATCGTACAAATTGGAATTTTCGTAGATGGAGGGGAGAAATGGGGAATTTTGTAACAAAAATTTCCATGGAGGTTCCAAGGTGTCCAAAAAGGCTAACAATGGGGTTTGGTAGTCTTGGGGGTGTGTCAAGGTAAGAAATCATGATCCGGAGTGTATCGGGCAACAAAGGCCATTAGATCAGGATCTTACTTGATAGATAGGCAAAATGGTCATTTTGGGTCTATAAAATGGAAGATGGTTGATCGAGGTATCTAGAAAGGTGATAGTAGTTATGGACAACGAGAGCCCTCAATTTGAAATCTTTTCAGATGAGGGGTTAATGGCTATTTTAGGTTCTAAAATTTGTTGGGTTGTCAATCATGAAGTTTTAACAAAGTTTAAAGGTGTCAAATGATGAATGATGATGGATATCCTAAATTTGGAGAGTATCGTGCAATGAGGATGATTCATTTGGGATCTTTTTAAGTAAAGAGTAAAGTAGTCATTTCGGATCTAAGATTTGGTGAATTGTCAATCGAGAGGTTATGATGGGGTTTGGACGTATTAGACGATGTGTAACAATAGATAACTTGAATTTGGAAAGTATCAGGCGATGAGGGTGGTCATTTGGAATCCTTTTAAGAGAATGGTAAAATGGTTAGTTTGGGCCTTATTTGTTATCTTTCAAAGATATTTTCTTAACTTATATTGTTGTGAGACCTAGTTTGTGGACTTGGGCCTTATTTGTTATGTGATGTTACACATGGTTTTGAAAACCAAATCAAGACTAGATGGTCGGACCAAAAAACCCTAGAACTGGTCAGGTTACACATTTGTTATGTGATGTTACAACTTGATGTAGACTTTTGACTCCCTGTTGAGTTGTATTAGTAGATCAATCTCCAGTATCTCCTTAGCTAGAGAGAGGATGATGATAGTTTAAATTCACATTGAAGTATAGAGAAGCACTCAATAGAACTTCAACTTCATTGATGTAGTATTTTAGCTTTTTTGTTCCCATTAAGCACAGAGAAGCTTATTAAAGATACGCACCTAGATACACACTCCCTGTTGGGTTTGTTTGCATGTTTACTAAGTAGATCATTCAACAGCCCAATAGACAAGAAGAAACATTGAGCTCTTGGGGTCTTGTCCTTAAAGACCAGCACTGTTCTGTTTGCATCAGGATGTTAAAAACAGCTGGGAAGGCTATTTTCAATGGGGAAAGACCAAAAGCTTCTTTTGAATATGGCTTAATTTTTCGGTCTTTCTGTGCACTCATCCTCGGGTTTTTAGTCTTTTGAGTTTCCCATAAATCTAAAGACGTGCCAAAAGGATGCACCAAACACCACCTATACCCGCATTTGTGAAAATGGATTTCAATTTCGTTTCCACCTCAACTCAAATGTAGTCTTGCTTTCTTTTCTTTGTTTTTTTTTTTATTTTTCTTATTTAGCAAGGAAAATATTTAAATTCTCACGAAGAAGAGTTTAGAGCATCAAACATGGAGAGTCTGCCAGGAAGGAGAATAAAGAAATATAGAACTTGGTTCTTTGGTGACTATTATAGTCCAAACATTATTTGGACCACCCAGAGGCCTATTCCAGTTCAAAAATCATTTGGGCCCCTGGGTATGGACTGAGATGTAACTAGTGAGAAAACTCATGGACCCATTTTGGGTTTCCATTTCAGCTTATACAAATCAAAATATTTTCCATGAAAAACCCATTCCTGCAATGTGAAATCCTGCCCATTTCCAGATTTACAAATTCGAAATGAAAATAAGATGCTTGGAATGCATTAGCCACACAGTCTTTAGTTTTTAAAGCTATTCTGAAATAAAACACAACACTCTCAAGTGTTTATATGTAGGATATGAAGTAATTGAAAAATACTAAAGTAACTGTTAAGTTGGGAACAAATTTTCAGATAATATAGCAAGATAAACTACTCAGTTTCTGTAGAATTGGAGTTCATATCTACTAAATGTGGTAGAGAGCATCAGCATATGATTTATGGTCATTGCCCATATCCTGTAACGAGCATAATCGTCGGTCATATCTAGCATGATCGTCCCCCTACTTGTCGTCAACACAATAAGGTATGACGTGTCGGTTTCCTCACCGTCCAGATCTTTATACAATTCGGCATGCAAGTCAAGTACAATACCTGTAGCCAAAGAAGAGTTGTTTACCTTGTTAACTCTGTTTATATGTTACATGGAATCCGAATCTTGTTATGATGCAAATTGAACTTACTTTCTTTTGTTCTTGCAAACGCAGCCAAGACATTGTTCTTCCTAATTTTCAGAATAACCTGTCATAAAAATTAAAATGCACACAAATTCGAAATTGGCTTTTCTGATTTTTTTGTGGGTTGTTTTTCCATATTTTCTATTTTTGTGTAAGAAAAAAAAAAGTCCAAAAGACACATGTAAATGGATCATGGGTGGGCTCTACCAGGTTCTGTTGTAGTCAGTTCTTCACTTTTTTTTTTTTTTTGTTATTTTGGGAAACAGAAACTGAGAAATCAACTCTTTTCACAGTTCTTATTGAGATGGACATGGGCTGGTCCAGCAGGATTCCTAAGTATGGACCAGATGGGCTGTAGACATATGAAGCCCACATTGGGCCTATTGTTCACTTGTCACAGTTTATATAGGGCCGAGTTATAGAATGCCAATTAGATGGCCCATCTATATCAATGACTTATAGGGCACATAAAAGTAAGAACTAAAGATCTAACCTTAGCTTCATTGTTGAGGATGATTGAGACTGATCTCAACAAGCACTTCCCTAACACATTCAAACAGAAAAAGAGAAATGTCCAAACAGACCCATTTAGTCAACAATAACAAGTTTCCTTGAAACACAGTAACTATTATTTTCTCTGACTTACCGTCGGACGTTTCGATAGTAAGCTCTGATCCTTTGGCAAGCAGAGATCTACATTTATCAAAGTCAAAGTCAACATCATGGTTCTCCTCGATAGGAAGTACGGGTGTTCTCCCGTTTACTCTGTCCCTAAGACCTGGCCTTCCTCTTAGTGTAGCAGCTCCTCTCAGTGCTAAGACGGAACAGAAAAAGAAATTAATCACCCATTCAATGAACTGCTAAAGTACGTAAATCAGATGGTAAGATCGGTTGCAAAGATGATCCAGAAAAAAGAATTAAATCACCATTTAAGATTGGATGACCAAGCCTGAATGATTTTCTGAAGGTGGGTTGTTTGGGATTTTCTTGGGCCAGGTAATGGGCCCTTATAAAGCCCATATTTAAATGGGCTGACCCAGGGAGTTCGGCTTCAATCAGTGCAAAGCCCATTCAAACAGTGCAAGGTTGCAAGAGGTTGTACGAACAGTGTGAGCATGGGCTTGCACTGACTGAAGCCGAATTCTCACCCTGGTGGGCTGCCAATTTAAGTTGAAAATTTTGGAATTGCCACTTATAATTGAGTCCACATCTGCGCCCCACAATGCCCCACAACACATCTTGACCTTGTATTGCGAATATGTCCTATGGATGTCTCATCTTTCATACTTGTCATCAGGAGATATTCCCAATACAAGGTCATGATGTGCTGTGGGGTATAGTGGGGTGCCCCATTGTGGGGTGCTGATGTGAACTCCTTATAATGTCCAGTAACCAAGAATGCTTATTTTAAGGAGATTGGCTTCAGTGCTCACACCGTTTACACCGTTCGTACAGCTTTTACAGTCATGCATTTGGGAATATCTCCGTACTTATGCACTTTTTCCATGGGGAGATATTCCCAGTGCAAGGTTGCAAGAGGCTGTGTGAACGGTGTGAGCACTGAAGCGGATTTCTATTTGAGAGAGTAGTACATGTTGCAGCGGCAGCTGTAAGTGTTAAGATATCACTGGGACTAGTGCTGGTCATGGCTGAACCCATGACAGTACTGAGCTGCTCACGCTTGGCACCCATGGTTTCTGCAACTTGCGCACACTGTGCCGCAACCAAAGCAGCTGCCGAAGCAACAGCTGCTTCTTTGGTTGAGTTGGGTTGGTTCTGTTTGTTGTTCTCTGCAGCAATGGCTGCCAATGCAGCTGCAAGACCGGCAACAGATATGGCTGCGTGCACTTCAGCTCTCTGCAACCTCTCTTCCTCCTTTCTCTTCAACCTGATGTCTTTTAACCATTTCTTGACAGAGATGTTCTTAAATGGCATCAACTTCCAAGACCCCTGCATGATATTTATTATATTACATTAAACATGTAATAATAAAACATAAGCTATATATCCCCTCAATAAACCAAACTGCATTTGAATGATAGCGTATAAAATGTTTGTGATCTAATTGATGAGGACTGAAATGTAGGACAAAGTACTCACTCTATGTAGAAAAACTTGTTTGTCAAAGCCCAAGAACAACTAGATTCTTTCTCACTGAAACCCATGAAATCAAAGACTACAATATAAAATTAGGCATATCTTTTTGGGTTCCTCCTTGTCTGTAAATCCATAGAATCCAATAGTTGCAAAAGATTATTGTTTTCCCGCATTCCTCATGAGTATTTCACAGGGCTGAAAATGGTATCCATTCATCTGAGTATGTTCTGGTTCAATCCAAATCCAGAAATATTTGAACATATATATGCATCCACATAAAGTTATAATTTTTAACCAAAAATTTGGATTAAAAACCCATACATAGAAGTCATTTTATTCATGATATATAATTTCAGTTTAGGGTCATTTACTTAGAGACCCCCTATAGTTTCTCATGTTTATTAAAAGCTACCTTAGACCTTAGTATCCATGTTACTAAACTACCCCTATAATTTGTGTAACCAATTTACATGTCAGGAGCTGTTTGTATTTTTGTTTGGGAATGGTCATGTGAGTTCTTAAAACGAGTAGAAATTTGAAGTAGAACCCTAGCTGCTTTCATATTAACCTTATTAGAAACAAAACCCGGAGGCAAAATCTATAATTTATCTTTTATAATCTTTTGAGTAATTTATTCCAACCGACGTTAGGGACAAAAATGTCATTTCCTATTCCCTCTAAGTAAAGGGGTTGCAAACTATATGGGGTTTCATAAATACACAACATATCTAAATAGATGAAACTACACAAGGGGTGTCTGTGTAAATAAACCCTTTATTTAATTTTATAAAATATTTAAAAAAAAAAACTAATTGCAGCAAGGGTCAAGGGATAATATAGATTAAAGGTAGTTTGGCCCATTGAGCCGGATATCATGGGCTTGCTTGCTGTACCAACAAAATTTCAAGTTTTCCCTTTTCTATCTTAATTATTATAGTGCTGCCGTTATGGGATGTGCCAGAGCTTGACAACCGGCTACAGCTTCCCGGCGTGTTCCCACAATGGAAGCATTCTCTGCAAATCCATGGAGGGTTTTTCTAAATATGAAGAAGCGCTGGTCGCTGACAGGCTATTTTGGCCCAAAGACGCACTCCAATAAATTAAGAGCACGCTTTCTGTCAGCATTAGCTTCACATGAAAGGAAAAAAGAAAGAATAAAAATACAAGGTCGGAATGGCTTTGGGGTTTGGCCTAAGCTCACGCCCATAAAAAGTTAATTCATTCTGGACCTGACTCGTACAGATCAGACCAAAGATGGGCCAAGCCAGACTTTAGACTGGCGTTGAGTAGACATCACCCAGCTTCAACTTCCTCTAGCTTGGTCAGTTTGAACGCATGCCAACACAAACACCCCCTATAGGTCCCCTGGATTGGATAGGGTTTCCGAGTGGAGATGGAGAGACAATTTGGGGTTCAATCTAGCCACCCCTCCGACAAACTTCATTTTTTTTATTGTGGGTTTTAATATTATCAGTACTGAAGGTTCCCTATATCGATCAGCTTGTGGGATTGTTATCATTTGAACCTAAAATTGGTTGGTGAAAGATGGCTTATTTGATAGCTCTAATGGAGGATCACTGCTGGGTCATTCAATGACTGAAGGGTCTTCAGAAAAGGAAGAAAAATGGATTCTCATAATTGAAAGGTGGCAGCTTAAGAAACATGGTTTATGATCAGAAGTGGTAAAAATAGAAGAAATTAATAATAGAGAAGTTTTTCTAGGAAATCATACCCATTTCTTTCGGAAACAGCGATCATAGTTTAGTTCTGGATGCATCGCTTGTTGAAGCCAGATCCATGACTGATCGAGTGTAAATAGTGTGAGACAAAAAAGGCAGAAAAATTGATGAGAATGGATAAAACATGAAGTTGTACTCTCTACAGTTGGCATTTAGTTCCAGTGAAGTGATGAGGCTTTAGTACTGTTACCTTCAAATCGTTGGATCTCCATGGTGGTACAGACTTGAGATCTCCTTCATCCATTTTTAAGCTTTTGTCCATGTTCTGCATGCAAAAACAGTTGATAGACTAGTTTATCCATTCTGTAAAAAATTGTAAGCTAAGCTTCATATCTACTCACCCTCGATGAAGGCTTGGTTTCATTCTCGCAAGGCCTAACCAGACTATCTTGATGAATAATTGATTGATCTTGTCCCACTGGTTCTGGTTGGAAGACCTGAAGCGCAGAGTTGCACCAAGCTCGTGAAAGAAAATCCATGGACTCATTAGGCACTTGGGGACTCGTTAGAATGAAGCTTGAATCCATGTTATGGGAAATGAAACTTGTTTGGAGATTTACTAAAAATAATGAGAAACTGCTTAGCGTTTACAAGTAGATATATAAATGGCAATTAATAGATGGGGTTAACTTACAGTAGTTGGACTAAATTATTGGTAAATCGGTGTTCAGAGTTATCTCATCTCATTTAATAAGTTATTAGCCTCTAGAACTTGAATTTTTAATTACTCATTTAAGGATGGCGTATGACACTTGTTCCACCAGAGGACCCTCTACGTATGTGATGTTTATACCATTAAAGCATTGTAGACAGCTTGTAGAAACCTCCATCTTTACTTAAGTATGCCTGAAAAGAGAAAGTACACTCGTGGTCACAGTTGGCAAGGTAGTCCTCATTACCTTTGCACATAAAATTATGAAGCTTAAGACAAGGGACCCTCTTGGAACAATAAGAACATAAAGATATTGAAAAGGATTTGATTGGAAAGAGACCCAGAAAAGAATGAAAATGAACACATACCAACTATGATAGAGGCAAGATATATTTTGTTGGATGAGAAATAAAGAGCAAAACTAGGGCCCTTCCATGAACATACACAAAGTGGCGTTCAGTATCGCTGAACAGACCTCCGAAGGCTGAAAATATTGCTTTTTCAGCGATCGGTGGTTGTTTCGTTGCACCTCTGAACATACCCTCCGAATGTCGAAAACACCTCAAAAAATTTCAGAGGTCGAGTTAAACACATTCGGAGGTAGCGGACCAAATCTGTTTTTCATCAATGCCCCTTTCCACCAATGCGTGATGGAGAACGAATAGGAACATTGGTTCGAACTTGCTCATGGTGTGACTGGTGTGGTAAGGTTAAGTGTGGTGGTCTCCTTGAAGGACGAAGGAAGGCTGGAAGCAAGGGTAGGCTAAGGGCTTTTATCGATAGAGTTGTGTGTTTGTTGTGATTCATGCCTCCTTTTATACAGAAAGATCCCAAGGTCCTAAAAGGAAGGAGTCAAAAGAATTTGCTTCTCATTTGGAAAAGGGGATATTTGATTCGGTGTCAGTTGTTAGGGGGACACTGTTAAGGGTTTGCCACGTGTCTTATGAGATCTCTCCAAGACGAATTTTCCTTTCCTTTGAGGATTCTCATAATACATGTGTGCTACTTCCTTTTATGGGTTTCCTGGGCTGACGTGGCACATATAATGTCAAGACTGGTCCGACATGTCTTTCTTAATCTTATCAGACATCCTGTCACAAGTGCTTTTGTCTAGTCGTTACTCTTTCGTTCGACATCGGTTTGTGATGGCTCTGAGTTCATCGCAGGCTCACGATGGCTTTAAGCTCATCGCAGGTCCGTGGTGACCTCGAATTCGTCATAAGTATTGTTGTTTTGAACTCATCGCAGGTCTGTGTTGGCTTTGAACTCATCATAGGTCTATGCTAGCTTTGAGCTCATTGCAAATCTGTGGCGACTTTGAACTCATCGCAAGTTTGTATCGAGTTGTGAACTTGTCGCGGGTGTCTTTGGAGTGTTGGTTTAATACCTTTGTTGCCATTGCAGTCGTGGTTGATCAACATGCACATGATCATGACCTGAATGATGCATCTTCCATAGGAGATGCGACGACTCTGTTTCCACAATAGGATGTACAGGGAGCGGGGACCTAAAGAAAGTTGGTGCCAAAAGCCCACCGGTAACAGAGGAGGAGAGAGAAGGCGTGGTCGTGAAGAAGAAGGAGATAGAGAGAGAGGGCACCGACAACAAAGTTCGAAGAACCATAGGAGGAGAGAAAGAGGGAACGGTCCTATAAAAATGGGAAAGGGGGAGAGAGGGCATCAGCAATAGAATAGGAGGTCTGTTAACCTGCAATAGAGGAGAGAGAGGGACCGATTGTGAAGAAGAAGGAAAGAGAGAGAGAGAGAGAGAGATTTGGCAGAACCGTGACAACTTCTAATTCAGACCTAGTGCGAGAGGTTGAAGACAACCTATAATTTGTTTAGTTACATTTTTATAATATTAATATTATTAACATTTTATAAATATTATTTCATATTAACATTAATATTAAATTATTTTACAATGTTAATATTTGAAGGCAATTATTAATATTTTGAAGACAAATTAAAAATAATAAATATTACTTTATAAGATTTTTAATTAATATTATTTTGATAATTTTAATCTTTTTATTAATATTATAAATCTTAGTAGAAAGAATATATTTTAAATCTTATTATTTATTATTTTTAATTTTTCTAATTTTATTATTTCTTAATATTTAATATTTTATAATTTTATAATATTATAAACTTTTAATAATTTCTATTATTGTTAATTAATAACTTAAGTGACAATTTGAGGGGTAAATTTGTAAAATGCACATTTTTCAAATGTTTGATCATTTAAATTAACGAATAACTTTGTCACATTTAGATATCTGCAAAAGTAGAAAAACAAATTTTCTTCAGAATGCTTTTAGAGCTTTTTCGAAGATTTTTCTACTTTTCTCACTTCAAACTTCAAAATTACCGAATGCTGCCTAAGTGGCCATTTGAAAACAACTGAAGTGGTTGAACTAAAAAGCTTATTGCTTTATCTTTTAGCTAGTGAGTTTAAATTTGAGGTCTTGAGCTCCTTAATAGCTGAAGTTGTAGTTGGGCAGATTATTGTACCCTTTAAGTTAAAGAAATAAACAAGAGGTAGAGAAACCAAACAAATTGAGAATGGTTCGATGAGATAGAGAACCATTCGAACCCTATGAATTTATAGATGGAGCAGTACAGTTTGAATACAACAATAACTGGAGAGAAAGCCATGAGACTAGAAGTGGACTAGCGGTTGAGTACAACAACCAGCGGTCATCAAGACCTCAAGACAACAAAGAAAGCCATGATGTTGATTGAGTACAACAACCAGCGGTCATCAGGACATCTGGCCCAATCAGCATCAAAGAAAGCCATGAGACTAGAAGTGGACTGAGAAGAGAAGAACAAAGCATGATCTAGGGTATATTTGAGATACCAAAGTATGCGCTTGACTGCTATCCAATGCTCATCAGTGGGATTATGTAAAAATTGACAGGCCTTGTTGACTGCAAAACTAATGTCAGGCCGAGTGAGAGTGAGATACTGCAGCCCTCCCACAATACTCTTGTATTGAGATGGGTCAGAGAGAGGAGACCCATGAAGTCTAGAGAGTTTAGCATTTCCGCCATAGGAGTAGAGAGAGGTTTAGCACCATCCAGGCCAGCATGATGAAGAAGGTCAATAATGTACCAGCGTTGGCAGAAGTAAAGCCTAGTGTGATCCTTGTGTGCTTCAATACCTAGAAAATAGTGGAGATCACCAAGGTCCTTGAGTTGAAACATACAACTCAGATTGGTAATAATAGAACGAATAATAGCCAAGGAAGTGCCAGTAAGTATAACATCATCCACATACAACAAGTAGATACAATGAGCACCACGTGAATAAATAAAAAGAGAGGGATCACAGCTAGAAGTACGAAAGCCTAATTCAACAAGCTTAGAGCTAAGGCGTGAGAACCAAGCTCGAGGGGCCTGTCGAAGTCCATAGAGACCTTTGTACAACTTGTACACATGATTGGGCCGATCTACATCCTAAAAACCCTTAGGTTGTCGCATATAAATGTTTCTAGTAACAAGACCATTAAGAAAGACATTATCAAAGTCCAATTGCCAAATAACCCACTGATGGGAAATGGCAAGAGAGAGGATAGTACGAATGGTGCTAGGTTTAACAATAGGGCTAAACGTGTAAGAGAAATCCACCCCCGGGATTTGAGTAAAGCCTTAAGCAAAAAGTCGATCTTTATAGCAATCCACAGATCCATCGGGTTTTCGTTTGATTTTGTAAACCCATTTAGAACCTACCACATTCATTGAGGAATGATACGGAGGAAGATCCTAAGTCTTGTTCTAAACAATAGCCTGAAACTCCTTGGACATCGCTTCATGCCAATGATGATGTTTAGAGGCTTGGGAGTAAATGCTTGGTTCAGACTCAGTAGTAGCAACAGAAGCAGTATAACAAAGGGGAAGAGGGTACTATGTAGCCAGAGAGGCTTCAACGCATGGACCTAGTCACCATAGTATGAGTGCACCGAACTGGAGCAAAAACAAGTTGTGTGGAGTCCATCAGGTCCTGAACCAACCGAGTCCGAGGTCGGGTGCATGGAAGTTCACCTGAAGAAGAAGCAGGACCAGCGTTTGCATCATCATTATCACTGGTATCGGATCTAGGTAGATCAGTCTCGGAAGTTGTATGGGATGCCGATGAAGCTGCAAGAATTGGGTCTAGTTGTTGAGATACACAGACTGGAAGCAAATGGACGCCAGTAGAATTGGGTTCTAGAGATGAAGCTGGCGGTGGCAAGCTAGGGAACAGATCTTCATCAAAAATAACATGGCAGCAGATATAAAGTCGTCCTATCTTGATATCATAGCAGTGGTACCCCTTGTGAGAGGAGTTGTACCCAAAAAATATACAGAGGGAAGATCTGAAATCCATTTTATGTCTGTTCTATGGACGCAGGAAAGGATAACATGCACAACCAAAAGTGCAAAGCAAAGAACAGTCTGGTGGGTGCTAAAATAAAAGTTCATATGGTGACTTGCCTTGAAGAGTCTGCGAAGGGATGAGGTTAATCAAGAACACCACAGTTTCAGCTGCATCAGACCAAAAATTCTGGGGAAAAGAAGTAACGACCAGCAAGGTGAGGGTGGCCTCTATCACATGGCAATGCTTCCTTTCAACTGTGTCGTTTTGTTCATGAGTGTGCAGGTAGATAAGACGGTGTCTGATGCCTTGAGAGTCAAGATACTGTGAAAGTCTCTAGTATTCCCTTCCCCAATTAGATTGAACACATTTAATTTTTTTATCAAACAAGAGTTCAACATGCCATTTAAACTTGAGAAAAGTCTCAAATACATTAGATTTTCGGCACATAGGAATGGTCCAAGAAAATTTAGAAAAAGCATCAACAAATAGTACATAATATTTAAAACCATTATTGGACTCAACCAAGGCTGGTCCCCATACATTTGAATAA